AGGCGGGGGGCGGGGAACCGCATGCGAACCCTGCCACTGGTGCCTGGGATGGAGCTCTTTATGGGGCCGCGACTCGTGTGAGGGGCGTGCCGACATGGACTGGCGATGGGCGGGGCGCCGCATGAACTCGTTCTGGGGCCACGAGGCGTGTGAGGGGTGTGCCGACATTGGCATGCGGTAGGCGGGGAGCCGCATGTGAACTTTGCCATTGGGGCCCAGTGGTGCCTTCGGTGGAGCTCCTTATGGGGCCACGAACTGTTTGAGGGGTGCACCGACATGGCCATGCCGTGGGCGTGGGGCCGCATGTGAACTTTGCCTCTGAGGCCTTCGTTGGAGCTCTCTATGGGGCCAGGAACCGTGTAATGGGTGTGCCGACATGGACATGCGATGGGCGGGGAGCCGCACGCGAACCCTGCTACTGGGGCCTTCAATGGAGCTCCTTATGTGGCCACTAAACGTGTGACGGGTGTGCCGACATGGACGTTCGGTGGGCGGTTAGCCGCATGCGAATTTTGCCACTGGGGCCTTCGGTGGAGCCCCCTACGGGGCCACATAACGTGCAAGGTGCGTTCCGTTGAGATTGGCAAGCGGAGGGCAGAGGCAAGGAAAGGAGGGGGGAGGGTGAGGAGGAGGAAGGAGGAGACGCGGGGACTGCCTCTCCAAAACGAGGACCCAACACCACAAGTCTGTCCGGAAGAACGAAACCAGACCTCGTACCGCTTTGAAAGACATGCAAGACAGGACGGCGCCACATGACTGGCGTGTGGGCGAAGCAGGGCGGGTCGCTGTCGAACTCGATTGGGGGTCTTCGGCCACGCGCAGAGGGGGGTGGGGGGGAGGGGGAGAGGGCTTCTTAGGAGCACCCCCTGCTTCTTAGAGGGCGCGGGCCTTGCCTGTAGATGTACGGCCGGCGCCTTCTGAGAAGCAGCCTCCTTCCTACGACGCCCTTCCCCCTCCCTTTCCACCCCCCTGGTGCGCGCCGAAGAGGTCTGCATCGGTGCCGTGCAAGACTGGCCTTACATCAGGCCTGTCCACCTACGGGGGGATTCTCGACGAAAAAAAAAAAATACCCCCCAAATAGTCAAAACATAATCCAAGAATAGCCTGGGGACTATTTTTGTAGTACTTTTCGACTTTTTGGGGGTATCCTTGGGGTATTTGTTATTTTTCGTCGAAGCTCCCCCTGTAGGGGGACACGCCCGACATGAGGCTGTCCCTGGGCAGCGGTGGCTCCGGGCGCGCGGGCTGCCGGCGGCCGCGCGCGGCGTGGCGGGAGCGGCCCCGCGTGCGCGGGTCTGGCCCGCCGCGGCGCCTCCCGAGCGCCGGCGCACGGGAGGCCTCTCCTGCGAGAGGTCGCTCTTGCGTGCTGGTTGGCGGGGGGCGCCACTTGCGCGCGCCACTTGCACAAAGGCCGCCTGTGGTCGAGCTCCGAGGCACGGTAGCCGCTCCCAGACATGTGTATGTAGTTTTTCTTTTGCCGATGCGCCGTCCAGGCGCGGCTCTTGAGTGAGTGAGTGAGTGGTGGAGGGCGAGGAGAGGAGGGGAAGTAACCGGGGGCGTCCTTCGAATCAGGAGGCGCCTGGACAGCCAGGGCTCAACGGCAATGATCGCCGTGGCACGCTCTATCTCTCTCCACAGAGAAGGTCCACAGGAATGGACATCGACATGCGGGAGCCGAGAGAGCTTTTTTCATGTGGGAACAAGGAAACGGCACTGCGCCCTTACTCTTCAAGTGCCACGCGTGTTTCAGAGATATCGCCGATATCGCCCACGGAATGTGGAGGACTCCAACACACCCCCGCCCCAGAATGACCCGGATACTTATGGATACTCAATGCCCCCATGCCTGTCCCGAATAGCATTGCCATATGTCGGGGCCGTCGTGTTTTCGGATCCAGTCTCCAAGGAGTGGGCGCAAGCAATCCTGATGCTCATAGAATCCCACCAGCCCTATGGGCGTAGGTGGTCAAGGGAGCTTCCTTTTCCAATACCCTTTTTACTCCTCTCCCTACCCCCTTCCCTGGACCTGGACTGGGTGGGCCGCAAGGTGTCAGAGGGTACCTCTTCGCCCAAGATGTCTCCAAGAGCGCCTCGGAGAGCCCAAACTTATTTCCAAGATGGCTCAAGATAGCCCAATATGCCTCAAAATGGCTGCCAAGATGCTCCAAGAGGCACCAAGACGGCTCCGAGGTGCCTTCGAGACCCCCAAGGAAGCATCCAAGAAGCCCAAATCCTTCAAACACCTACGGATAATCAATGATGTTTGCATCGTCGCCCGTTCGCTTTCGATAGCCTCCCAAGGCCTCAAGATGGCTCCAAGATGGCGCAAGAGGGCCCCAAAAGAGGCCCAAGAGAGCCCCAAGAACGCTCCAAGAGCGCCCCGCGAGCGCTCCGAGACATTTTTTGGTGGGGGGCAGGCGAGTTTGAGCTCCCTGCGAAGATGGCCCCAATAGTGCCCTTAAAGCTCCCCAAGGGCGCCCCAAGAGGCGCCCATACGGCCCTAAGAGGCGACCAAGAGGCCTTCAAGAGGCCCCCCCAGGCACACACGACGCTCAAAGACGGCCCTGGGCGCGCCAAGATGCCCCCAAGTCGCTCCAAGAGGCCTCCACTGGGGGACCCTTCCTCTGTATGCTGCCCACTTCCCTGATCGAGGCAACTCCTCTGGGCATCGTTTCTGGATGGGCTGGTGGGGTTACTTTTTTGGTCGCGGCCACGAGACGACTCCCCCTACTCCTGATCCTCCTTCCTCCTCCACCTCCCCTCCATACGCCGTGTCCCCCCCCCTCCTGCTCCTCCTCCTCCTCCTGCTCCTCCTCCTCCTCCTCCTCATCTTTCTCCTTCTCCTCTTCCCCCTAAAACGACGCGAAGATCGGGACACAATCGGATCGGGATAACTCGAAATCTCTGAGAATCGGCGGGTTTGGAGGATGTATTGGGCGCCGCGGCCGCTCCAGAGCGTTCCGGAACGCTCTGAGAGCGCTCCGGAACGCTCTGGAGCGATTTATCCCGATCCTAGCCCTGTTTTACCCCCTCCCCCTCCCCGTCTTTTCCGGCTCTGCCCCGAGAGGCATGGGTTTCAGCCAGAAGCCCATCAGCCGTCTGGGTTTACGTAGGTGGTTTAGCGCGCTTGTTCTTCCAACCCACTTCTTCCCCTTTGGGGAACTGTTCAACCCTCACCATGCCTCCTCCGCTGGTATTGGGTATTGACGCCCCCCCCCCCGCGAGCGGTCAGAGTCTAATGTGGCCCCCAGAAAGCAAACATGGGCTCCAAGATGGCACGATATAGCTGATGATGGCCTCCAGCATGCCTCCCCCAAGCCTCAAGACGTCTCCCAATGTCCACGGAGAATCCCAGGGAGACCAACACCTTCAAAACGAAGGGTGTTAAATCTTTGTACTGCCCTACTTCCGATAGGCATGTGAGGCCTCAGCATGGCTCCACGACGAGAACTCAGAATGGCTCCAACACGATGAGGGCTCCAATGGATGATCTGTCGTGATCCAGAGGGGAAGTGCTCATTCACGATTGCTTTTCATAAGCGACATACTTGACTAGCCATTTTTACATACTGATGTTGGCCATGGAGGCTTAATTTGGGGCCAAGGTGGCCCCATATAACACCAAATGTACAACAATCAACTCCGAGATGGCGTGAAGTGTTCCGATTGGCCCAAGACGGCCTCAAGCCTCCCAAAGAGTCCCAAGACGGCTCCACCTGGCTACGGAGCCTCCCACGGACGCCCCTGATCTGCCCAAATCAATCAACCACAGAACATGATAAATGGGATTTGCAGTCTCGCCGCTTCGCTTTCGATGAACCTCCGAGACCTGAAGATGGCTCCACGATTTCCCCAGAGAGCCCGAAGCGCGACGGCTCCAAGAAAGCGCCCACAGCGCCATTTTTCCTAAACGACTTGTCTGCAAAACCCCCTATGCGATTTCAGAAGGCCCAGTCTGAACCTCGCTGTGTCTGGAATCGGTAGCCCATGGTCTCATGTGTGTCGGGAATCTTCTGACCCGGGTCAATCGAGAACCGGGTCAGTCAACCCTTGCGATCATGTAAGGTCCTGCACCCAAACCCGGGCCAACGCGACGGATCCTGCAAGATCCTGCAGGATCCTGCGCCCGAGCCCAGGTCAATGCGACCCTGTCCCTGCAGGATCCTGCAAGATCGGGCGCCCTGATTGATCCCCCGTTTGCACTGACCCCCGTCTCCAAGCTCCCGAGTGTGGTCTCACGCGTGGCCTCCGTCCGGCATGGCCTTCTGGCATGGCCGCCCCCATTGGTCTCCCGTATGGTGTACCGTGCGGTCGTCAAGCTGGCCTCCTGCATGGCGTCTGGCGCGGTGTCCCGTATGGCGCCCCGTGCGGTGTCCCGCGTGGTCTCCCGCATGGCGTCCCGCATGGTCCTCCGCGTGGTCTCCCCGATGGCCTCCCCGTGTTGAACTCCCGCGCGGTCTCGCGTAGGGCATTCTTATCGCATCTCCCGCAGGGTCTCACGCATGTGCCAATTATGCGGCAGGGTGCCCTCTTTGCCAGAAGCTGGTGATGTTTGGGGTCTTCTGCCGCCATGGGGTGCAGCTTTTCGGGCCCCGACGGGTGGGGGCTAAGTGGCGCCCTCCGCTTTCTTGACCGATGCGCTGCAAGATGACCTCCAAGGCCTCCGAGAGGGGCCCAAGAGAGCCCCACCAGCCTGCAAAGTGGCCCCAACAACGCCCAAAGATGGCCCCTAGAACTCTTACAAGGGTTCCAATATCGAAAGATCCGCGACGGCCTTTCTGGTTGATTCTTGTGCCTGCTCGGGCTGACCCCGAGCCTTGCTTTGACGGCTGCCCCCTCCTCGTCCCGCTGCATGCTCCTACGCCCACCTGATCAAGATAACGAGCCTAGGGGGCGCTTGTGCATGGGCTGCTGGGGATAACAGGAAACGTCAACGACTTCGAAGGGAATCCAGCTGTAACTGCCCCGGCGGCGGCGGCGACGACGACGACGACCGGGGCCTGAGGAGCGACAGCGCCCTGCAAGCCCGCGGCGCGGCCAGGGGCGATCGCGGCTGACGGGCCCGTTTTCGGCGAGGGCGGCCGTCGCCGCTTTCGCCGACAATCGCCGCCGCCGCCGCCGCCGCCTCATCGTACCGTGCCGCGGCCAACGCCGCCGCCGTGTCCGCGGGCGGCCGGCGCGCTCGCCCGCACCGCCGCTGCGAACCGGGCGGAGGGCGCGCTCTCTCCGCAGCCGTGCACGACGACCGACGATGACGACGACGACCGACGGACGACGACCGACGACGGACGACGACGACGACGACGGACGACGGACGACGGACGACGACGACGGACGACGACCGACGACGGACGACGACGACGGACGACGGACGACGGACGACGAACGACGGCGACGACCGACGACCGACGACCGACGACGACTGACGACCGACGACGAGCGATGAACGATGACGAACGATGACTACAACGATGACGACGACGAACGACGACGACGACGCCCCCTACGGCCGGCGCGGCGGCGGCGACGGCGCCGCAGGCCGCCGACAGTCGCCGCCGCCGCCGCCGCCGCATCGTACCGTTCTTCAGCCAACGCCGCCGCCGTGTCCGCGGGCGGCCGGCGCGCTCGCCCGCACCGCCCCGGCGGAGGGCGCGCTCTCTCCGCAGCCGTGCACGACGACCGACGATGACGACGACGACCGACCGACGACGACCGACGACGGACGACGACGGACGACGGACGATGGACGACGGACGACGGATGACGGCCGACGGACGACGGACGACGGCCGACGGCCGACGACCGACGACCGATGACCGACCGACGACCGACGACGAACGATGACGAACGATGACTACAACGACGACGACGGCAAACGACGACGACGATACCCCCTGCGGCCGGCGCGGCGGCGGCGACGACGCCGCAGGCCACTGAGGGTCGGCAAAGGTTGCTCTGCCCTGGCCGCGGCGACCCCCAAGGCGGCCGAAATCCGCTGGCGGCGGCGTCCTCCACGCCACCGAAGGCCAGATGGCCTTCGGGGTCGACGGCGGGGGCCACGCGCTGCCCAGTTTGGAGGGGAGCAGTCTTGAGTCGGGCATGTCACTCTGCAGGAGGAGCGTTCGAGAATGGGTAGAACATAAGGTGGGGACGATTTCTTCGTCATCTGCCCTGGCCGCTGGCGGGATGTCCTGCAGAAGGCTGCCCTGGCCGCCGAACGCCGCCACAGACCACAGAAGGCCAGAGGCCGACACCGCGGGCCGCCGAGGGCGCCCCTCCCCCCGAAGGCCGACGGGGGCCCGCCCCAAAAACGGCGCGCGCCTCCTCCCGGCAGCGGAGGCGTCCCTGGCGGCAGCGGTGGCGCCATCGTGGGGATGGGGAGGGGAGGGAGGGATGGGGGGAGGGGGGGGGGAGGGAGGGAGGAGGGGGGAGGGGAGGGAGGATGGGAGGGATGGGGGGGAACGAAAGAGGCGGATCTCGCTCCTCTTCCTCTCCTTCCTCTTCCGCAGTGGGGGGGGGGATGGATGGATCACCGAGCCCCCCCCCCCTCGCATGGGAATGGAGCGCCGAGCCCCTAGTCGGGGCGTTGACCTAAGGAACCCTAAATAAGGAACGAGGCCCCTCTTTCCCATAAAGTTAACCTTCGATTTCAGATCGAAGCCCCAAGCAAAACCAAAGGCGAACTGCAAAACAACTAAGGAACACCGAGCCCCTCCCCAGCAAAAAGGGTCCCTTCTTCAGCGCCCCGACTGTAGCGGCGCGCAGAGGCGGCGAGGGGGAGGGGGGAAGGCTTCTTAGAAGGGGGCTGCTTCTCAGAGGGCGCTGGCCTCGCATGTATAGAGAAGGCCCGCGCCTTCTAAGCAGGGGTGCTTCTGAGAAGCCTTCCCCCCTCACCCCACCCCCCTCTGCGCGTGGCCGAAAAAAAACGGCGACCGGAAGCGGCAACGACAACGGCTCCAGGATTGGAGCCGGAGCGGGGACCCGTGACAAAAACGGCGACGGAAGCAGTACTCCAGATTTCGTAATAAAGGGAGGGGGGTCTCATTTCGGGGGGGGGTCTCTTCCAGGCTATCTTGGAGGGCCTGGGGGGGTCTGGGGACGATGTTTTGGGGGGTTCTCACACGGGGGAGGTCTGAAATGGCTTGTCTTGGAGGGTCCAGACCCCCCCCCTTTATTACGAAATCTGGAGTAAAAAAACGGCCCTGCCGTTTCCAGGGCCCACTAAGGGCACGGGCTGCTCGAGGCGGCCGCCCCGGCGTGCCCGAGGGCGCCGCTCTCTCGGGGCGGCCTCTCGCCTCCCGAAGCCCGCTGGAGGCCGAGAGGCCACCGCGCGCCCCAAGCGCCTCCATCGGGGGCGGCCAAGAGAGAGGGGTGTCCAAGAGAAGGGGCCCCAGATCACACAACGAAATACACACAAATAAAACAATGCCCGATATTATTCCCCGTATTTCCTGGGTTGCTGTCTTCCCCCCCACTTCCCATATTTTCCCATATTTTCGGGGGAATCGACGATTCATTGTGTCTGTGTGTTTTTGTTCCCTCCTGAGGGGTGCTAATCATGGCTGGCGGCATGTGCGCGGCCCCAGGAAGGGGCCAGGGAACGTATGGAAACAGGAAGAGGCGCCACGAGATCTGAGGAACTAGCATGGCCCACGCCATGATATTTGCACCCCTCAGGAGGGGAAGAAATACACAGACACAATTAATCGTCGATTCCCCTATGAGTATGGGAAAATATTGGAAGTGGGGGGAAGACAGAAACCTAGAAAACACAGGGAATGACATCGGGCATCTTTTTATTTGTGTGTATTTCTTTGTGTGTTCTGGGGCCCCTTCAATCTCCCCCTCTTGGACGCCCCCCTCTTTGCCGCCCTCGACTCCAGGGGTAACGGGCGCGAGCTTGCCGTCGGAGGTGTGGGCTCAGCGCTCGCTTCTGGGCGGCCCTAGGGTTAAGTCGGGCCTGTCCCCCTACAGGGGCATTTTCGATGAAAAACAAAAAAAACCCAAAATACCCCCAAAAGGTCAACAAATAATCAAAAAATAGTCCCCAGACTATTTTTGGACTATTCTTTGACTATTTTGGGGGTATTTTTGATTTTTCGTCGAAAATTCCCCTGTAGGGGGACAGGCCCGACTCAACCCTAGGGCTCATACCCCTGGCCCGCTGCCGGGCCCGTGGGGCCAGCAACGAGGCAGCCGAGGAGGGTGTGGCTCGGGATGAACAACCGGCACCGCGGGGTTTTGGGAGTCCCGAGACGGTGCGGTGACAGACCGTGCGGTGACCTCGAAATCCCCCAAGGCCTCACCGCACGGTCCGTCACCGCACGGTCCTGGGGCCTCGGAGGCCCCTGTCGCCCGAGACGTCCTCGGAGAACGACCCGAATCAAAACCGTGCGTGGACTGCGAATCCCCACCGACTCACCGCACGGTGTGGTCACCACCCCGTTTGGGGGCCCCGAGGGTTGCCATAAAGGAGACGGGCCCAGAGGAAAATAGGCCCTGCACTCCAGGTTTTTTTTCCTCGCAGGGACTCTTCATCCCGAATAGTTTTTCGGCAGTCCCACGGCCCGTGCAAGGCAGCCGGGAGCCCCGAAACTGCGATAAACCTCAATACCCGTTTCCCTCATGACCCGCTTCCTTCGTGGCGAAGGGAAGGGGTCTAATAAGCAACCACATGTAAAGCCTTGCCCTGCAGATCTGACTTCTGAAACATCGGTGGCTAGGCCTCGGAACTCGACGGGCGTCTGCGCCAAAGAAATTCTAGATGGGGTGTCCGATACACTGTGGACGCGGCCTCAAGAAACCTGGCCCGGAAAACCCGCAAGCTCGAGATGCAAGTGGGGGGGGGAGCCCACAGCACCCTGAACGCAGCAGTTTCTTCAACGGCCGCGAGACGTCATTGCGCAGCGCGCGGCGGAGACATCCGGGGTACCCCCACGAAAAGCGCTCGGCTTCTTGACGCGCGTCCCCAATGTGCTCCAACGCCGACGGGACCCGCAGGGGGCAAGGGTCGCAGACCGAGAGGCGTGAGGGCCCAGCGGCTCCACATGGAACGAAAACTGGGGGCACCTTGGGCCAGGGACGCTTCTAACAGCACCCGACCGTTGGGGGTACCATCCCCCCAGGAGGAGGAGGAGGAGGAGGAGGAGGAGGAGGAGGAGGAGGAGGAGAAGGAGGAGGAGGAGGAGGAGAAGGAGGAGGAGGAGGAGGAGGAGGAGGAGGAGGAGGAGGAGGAGGAGGAGGAATCTGGGAGGCCCCCAGGACTGGGCCCTTCGTCGGCGCGGGCACTCAGCGCGGGGCTCGGGGCTCAGACTCCGACGGGCGTCTGCGGCCAAGCGGCCCCCAGCGGGGGTGCCAGACACCCCAGCGCCAGTGTTAAGTCGGGCCTGTCCCCCTACAACGGGACTTTCGACGAAAAATGAAAAACAAGCCCAACAATGCCGCAAAAAAGGCAAACAGAATACTCAAACAATAGTCCCCAGACTATTCTTGGACTATGTTTTGATTATTTTTGGGGTATCTTTGATTTTTCGTCGAGAACCTCCCTGTAGGGGGACAGGCCCGACTTTCGGCGGTGGACAAACCTCCTTTCAGTTCACCTCCCCTCAGTGAAAACGGCCTGGAGCCGAAACCGACGGACCTGGACCTGCAAAAATGACAGCCGCGACGCCCTCTCGCGAACCGAAAACGGCCAATTCCTCAATCGACGTGTCAGGGTAGGAGGGTTGTCCAGCCCCGAGACTTCACGCCAGTGGGGCCCGCAGGGGCGAGGCTCGCACGTGGCCGCATGCCGAGAGGTCTGCGCGTGCCCCGCAGCTCGAGCAGGAGCGCATCGCCAAACGTCTCTCTGGGGGACCTCTCCTCCGGACCGGCCACTTCGCCTCACGACCCTAGGGCCCCTAGGGCCTACTCCTAGGCCTACCACTGGGGCCTTAGGGCCTACCCCTAGGCCTACCCCTAGGGCTTACTCCTAATTAGGGCCTACCCCTAGGCCTTCCCCTAGGGCCTACCCCCAAGCCTACTCTAGGCCCACCCCTGGGACCCCTGAAGGGCCCGTTCCTGCACCCCCCCATTTCCGGTCACCCCCCCTTGCCACCCGCCTTAGGGGACCCTGGCCGAAGGTGCGCCCAGGATTGCCAGGGAGGCCCCTGCGATCTCGAGAGCACCCTTCACGAGGCCCAGAAACCATATTTGAGCAGGGACCGACAGTCCCGGCATTCCTATAGTCCTACCACGAAGCGTTCTTAGAACGCAAAAATATTCTAAGAACAAAAGCAATGTTCTTAGAACATAAACCCGATGTGTTAAACCAAGACAGTCTCCGTCAGAAAAAATTCTAAGAACATCTCGTGGGAACCACAAAAGGTTCTTAGAACATTTTTTTGCAGGGCTATAGGCGAGCCAAGACGCTTCGCCACTGCTTGACATGTGGGGCTCAACAAGGGACGAGAACGGGGGGCACCTTGGGCCTGGGACACTTCCTAACAACACCCGGCTCTCGGGGGGACCATCCCCTTCCAGACCGACCACTCCGTCGGCACGGGCAGTCCGTCTGGGGGCAGGAAGCTGAAGGGGCCCCAGGACACACAAATAAACATACACACCTAAACATATTCCCCATATTTTCCTATATTCTCTGGGTTTCTGTCTCCCCCCCACTTCCCATAGTTTCCCATATTTTCTGGGGAATCGACGATCAATGGTGTCTGTGTTTTTTTCCCCTCCTGAAGGAAATGTCCGCATTCTGATGCAGTGGTCGTGCCGCCACGCGGAGCGCTGGCTGAGGAATGAGGGCGCCTTTCTCGGGCGCGGCCCAACCGACCCCTTCCGTGACGAGCACCCTCTGTGACGTCCCCCTCGCCCTCCGTGCCTCCCTCTCGCGCGTTTCTCGGGCGGGTGGCTGGCTCCGAAAGGAGCCCTTTCAGCCTTCGGGGGGTGCAGAAAAAAGGCCCCGAGGAGCCAGGGGAAAAGGCCCCTCAGGGCCTTTTTTTGTTCTGCACCCCCAGTGTACCGGGAGCGACCAAGAGGGGGGTGTCCAAGAGGGGGGGCAAGGGGGGGGGGGGGGGGGGGGCAAATCATGACCGGCGGCATGTGCGCGGCCCAGCGGGGGGGCCAGGGACGTAATGAAGCAAGAAGAGGCGCCATGAGATCTGGGGAGATGTCATCGCCCACGCCATGATATCCACCCCCCCTACACCCTGCGAAATGCTTAAGAAATCATGGGTTAAGAAATTCATAGTCTCAGAATTTGATTACAAACCCAGAATTTCGATTCAAATCTTAGGATTTACATTGAAACAGTAAGAATAATCGAGACTCTGGCCGAAACCTTACGTTTTCTTAAGCAACGCCTAGGGTGCAGTCATCACCCCCCTCTCTGCCGCCCCCGAATGTCGGCCACCGCCCACTGCCACCCGCCAGAGCTTCTGGCCACGGATGGCCTCGAACACGAACAAGCCCCCCGACAGACCCAAGGAGTGGCCCGAAAACCGGAGCCCGTCCCGAGCCCCAGGCGGTCCTTGGCTCAGCGTCTTGGCAGCACTTCGGGTAGATGAACATTCTTTTTTGATCTGCAGGGCGAGAGCAGGCCTCCTCCGCCATAGGCTCCGCGGGACGCGCCCAGCTTTGATGGACAGAGAGGGGGCGAGACCGGCAGAGAAACAGACACCTGCGTGCACGCAAAACTTCTGGAGCTCCACGAGAAGTTCTGGGATCGGTGCCAGGCCCCCCTGGCGCGCGGAGCGTGCCAGGGGCGGCGCCAGAGGCGCTCCAATCCGAGGCCTCCATGCGCGGAGCGTGCCAGGGGCGGCGCGCCGACCCAAGGCCTCCGTGCGGAGCTCTGAGCATGTCTGCTTTATCTGTTTGCCCTTCCTTGATGCAGGGCGCCCTGGGAGGGCTTGGCTCCGCCCTCCTCCACGCCGCCTCTGGCCAGGATCCCGAGGCGCACCCGAGGCCGCGAGCACGGATAAACCAGGACATTGGCGCGGCCAAGAAAGTTGCGGCCCCGCGGGTAAAAACGTTCTCCAGTCTTCGTCCCCTCCGGGTGAAGACGTCAGAGCCCTTGCCTGGCGATGTCCTGCCTTAGGAGGCCCTCGCCCGCAAACAGCCCCAGACGACGGGATCCTCGATTCCACCCCGATCCTTGGTCCTCCACGACCCTGTCCAGGGCGCTGGGGGAGGGAGGGGGGAGGAAGGGGAACCTTGGGGAGGACTGGCTCAAAGGGGGGGTAACATCGAGCTGGCCTCGGCGATACATCGCCGACAGGTCGGCGACATGCCCCCTGAAGCGAAGCGGCACCGTCCTGTGAGGGACTGGCCATCGAGCCTCTGGCAGCGATCAGGGGCGATTGGGAGTCGCCTCCTCTCCTGAGCCTATACCCCCCTGGGCATCGCTCGGACGTCCATTCCCTGTGCTTTTCTCGGTTTCGTGCGTGACTTTCTCGCCAAATCATCAAGGATGCTCCTCGATGGTCCTCGCCGAAGGCAAAATGCACACGTCCGAGTGAGCCTATACCCCCTGGTGAAGCAGGAGGGGCCTGAGGGGGGGGGCTCCCACGAGGCGTCCCTGGGGGAGGGCGGGCGCCTCGCAGTGTCGCGGCGGGCGGCGGCGACAATCGTCGTCGTCGTCGTCGTCGTCGTCTTCGTCGTCGTCGTCGTTCGCCGTCGCCGTTCGCCGTCGCCGCCGTCGTGGCCGTGGTCGTGGTCGTGGTCGTGGTCGTGGTGATGGTCGACGTGGCGGTTGTGGTCGTTCTCGTGCTATCCTCTTGGTTCGCGGTGAAGCCTCAGAGAGAACACCGAGGCACGATATCCACATCGCATGAGGGTGCTGCAGCGGCCTCATCACTCCTTATCCTCCTCTGCTTCGCATCCCCCCTCTGCCTCCGACTCCACATCCTCGTCCTCCTCGTCTTGCTATTCTTCCTCCTCTCCTCTCTTCGCCACCCTCCGATGAGGCGGCAGACGTGACGGCACGACGACTCTCGCCATGCCGCGCCCCCCCGCCTACAATTGATCACCCAATGCTGAGCCACCGCTCGACGGTGACAGGGAACTTGTCACTGAGCACCCTCGCCATCGCTCGGACGTGCATGTTTTGTGTTTTTTTTTTCGGTTTCGTGCGTGGTTTTTTTGCCTAATGATCAAGGATGCTCCTCGATGGTCCTCGCCGAGGAAAAAACGCACACGTCCGAGCGATGCCAAGCACCTCGTCTGCATACGTTATGCATAACTCTTCTACGGCCAAGTTTGAACTTCATCGGATCCGAAATCGTGGCCCTTGGCCTCCCTCCTGGCCTCCGGTATGACCAATCTTCCGCATGGTCTCCCGCATGGTCTCCCGTATGGATTATGCCATGGCGTCCCGATATGGCGTCCCGTCGGCTTTCCCGCTTGCGAAGTACAGCATAATGCTTTAGCCTGTAAACATGCTGAAGGGCTCTTCCGCCACCATGCTGCACTTGTGCAGGATGTCGCCGCGTGGGCCCCAATGCACTTGAAAGGAAAAACATGGGCGCCACATCGACTGGGTCTGAGGGCGGGAGCTAATGAAGGGGCCCTGGGACACACAAATACATACACACAAATAGCAGGATTCCTTATATGGTCCGATATTTTCTGGGTTTCTGTCTTCCCCCCCCCACTTCCCATATTTTCCCATATTTTCTTGGGAATCGGCGATTAATTGTGTCTGTGTTTTTTTTTTCCCTCCTGAGCTGTGGAAAAGCCATGCCCGCCCACCGCCTGGCCCCGAACCCGATGAGCGGGGTGGACGGGATCTCATGGGCGTGACACCATGGGCGGGCGGACCCCCACGGCCACCCGCCACGGCAGCCTGCCGCAATAGGCCCTGATGGTCCCATGGACGGGACCTCACCTTAGGGGAGCCAGCAATGGACCCCGATGGAGAACAAAACTGCTCTTCAGCCCATGCAAGAACTCCTGAGAGCAAGCGCTGCACTGTGACGGGACATGCGTTCATGCACTGGCGCCTCATCATCGGAACCTCTCCGGAAGCGTAAGGCCCAGAAGCGGGGGTTGGCGCCCAGATCATCTCCAGGGCTCCGCGTGGGAGCCCGTCGCGCTCCCGCGAGCCCGATGCCCCCCTCGCGCTGAGCGCGGCGACGCGGGAACACCGCCCCCATGACCTGCCTCGACTTGCTCGCCTGCGTGGCTTGCTCAGCCACTGCCACGGCCTTCGGGGTGCGCGCCCAGCCGCGGCCCGTGACCGCCTCCTCCTCCTCCTCCTCCGCGAGGAGGAGGAGGAGGAGGAGGAGGAGGAGGAGGAGGAGGAGGAGGAGGAGGAGGAGGAGGAGGAGGAGGAGGAGGGATGAGGATGAGGAGGAGGAGAGGGGAGGAGGAGGAGGAGAGGAGGAGGAGGAGGAGGAGGAGGAGTTTTAAACCCGCGTGCTCCCGCCCGTGAGTGGGCGCCCCTGGTCTCGGCACCCCGCGCAGGCAGAACGGCCCGAGGCGGGGTGGGCCAGCGGCCTCATCTCACGGCGTCGTACTGCCGCCACTCAATGACTCATGGAGTCGCCCCGTGAGCGGCGGCAGTCTGAAGATATGCTGCCGCCGCCCTCTCAGAGCTTGAGGAGCAGCCTGATGGACGGCCGCAGCCGCTCCTCCGCTCTGCGCTCTTCCAGGGACCGCCCTGGCCGCTGGTCCCTGGACTCGTGGGCCTTCACGGCCGCCTTGCCTGGCGCAGGGCTGTGGCCTAACCCCTCGCCACGCTGGGGTGCATTGCGGCCTAGCCCCTCGCCGCGCAGGGGTCCTCCGTGGCCTAACCCCTCGCCACGCTGGGGCCTGCTGCGGTCTGGCCCTTCACCGCGCTGGGGTGCTCCGTGGTGGCCTAACCCCTCGCCACGCAGGGGTCTGCTGCGGTCTAACCCCTCGCCGCGCTGGGGTCCGTCGTGGCCTGACCCCTCGCCACACTGGGGGTCGGTGCGGTCTAACCCCTCACCGCGCTGGGGAAATGCGTGGCCTAACCCCTCGCCACGCTGGGGGCTGCTGCGGTCTAGCCCCTCACCGCGCTGGGGTGCTCCGTGGCCTAACCCCTCGCCACGCAGGGGCCTATTGCGGTCTAACCCCTCACCGCGCTGGGGTCCCATGTAGCCTAACCCCTCGCCGCGCAGGGGCCTGCTGCGGTCTAACCCCTCACCGCTATGGGGTCCGCCGTGGCCTAGCCCCTCGCCACGCTGGGGATCGTTGCGGTCTAACCCCTCACCGCGCTGGGGTACTCCGTGGCCTAACCCCTCGCCACGCTGGGGCCTGCTGCGGTCTAACCCCTCACCGCGCGGGGGTACGCCGAGTCTCGCACTGTCCCCGTCCTCGGTGCTACTGCCCACTGGCTCGGGCGAGGTCCCCCGACTATGCCACTCGCTGTGTTCGCGGTTCACGTGGTATCCGCGGGCCGAGCCCCCCCCCTCGCGTTCAGTCTGTCGGTTTCCCAGGGTATGGGTCCGCTCTGTTAGTTGCGAGGTCCTGTCTACCACACTGTTGGTCAAAAGGTTCGCGTCATGCTCACTGGGCTCGTCAGGGACCTCCGCCTCGAGCCTCTGCTTGCCTTTGGCACTGCGGTCTACCCCGTCACCGCGCAGGGGATTGCCGTGGCCTAACCCCTCGCCACGCAGGGGTTCCATGCGGTCTAACCCCTCACCGCGCTGGGGAAAGTCGCCGAACAACTTCTCCAAGTCCCGCTGCAAGTCTGTGTCGTCGTAGTCTGCCGTCGTCTCGGGCTGCGCGGTTTTGTGGCCTAACCCCTCGCCACGCGGGGGAACGCCGAGTCTCGCGCTGTCCCCATCCTCGGTGCTACTGCCCACTGGCTCGGGCGAGGTCCCCCGACTATGCCACCCGCTGTGTTCGCGGTTCACGTGGTATCCGCGGGCCAAGCCCTCCCCCTCGCGTTCAGTCTGTCGGTTTCCCAGGGTATGGGTCCGCTCTGTTAGTTGCGAGGTCCTGTCTACCACACTGTTGGTCAAAACGTCCGCGTCATGCTCGCTGGGCTCGTCAGGGACCTCCGCCTCGAGCCTCTGCTTGCCTTTGGCACTGCGGTCTAACCCCTCACCGCGCTGGGGTCCTCCGTGGCCTAACCCCTCGCCACGCTGGGGTCCTCTGCGGTCTGCCAGGTGGTACCCTATGCTGCGCTGTACATCTGGGATCTGCTGGTGGTTGTCATCGCTGTCCTGCTTGTCTACGGGCTGCTGGAGGCAATCCTCGCTGTTCTCCTCTTCAAGGAAGTGGTCGAGGTCTGCCATGTCCATGGTGCTCCATCCTGCTGGTGGGGGACGGGCACCCCTCTGCATCCCGTCTGGCGCAGGGCTGTGGCCTAACCCCTCGCCACGCTGGGGTCCTCTGCGGCCTACCCCCTCGCCGCGCAGGGGTCCATGGTGGCCTGTCCCCTCTCCGCACAGGGGCCTGCTGGAGGGTTTCTGCTGCTCCTCCGCCCTTCCCGCCTCCAGGGGCCGCTCTGGCTGCGGTACCCCGTGCGCAGCTCGGCGGGGCTGCTGGTGGCCCTGGCCTCTGGGTTCCTCATCGGCTGTCTGGCTGGAGCCCTGCTTGGCACTCGCACTGCTGCTTGCGGTCGCGGGCCGCGGCTCCTCGCCACTGGCTCAGTCACGCCCAGGAACTGCTCAGCCATTGCTCTGCGCCGCTCTGCCTCCTTCGGGTCCTGCTGCTGGATCTGCCTGCGCGCCTCTCCGCTGTTGAGCCATGCCAGGCGGCAGATCTCCTCCGCCGCTCGGCGCTGGCTGCGCTGGCGGCTCGGCCCTGACACGTTGCTGAACAGCCTCTGGTAGACGCCAGTCTGCAGCGCCCTCAGCACATGGGGCACGCACGCAGCCTGCCACGATGGCCAGCCCTGTTCGCCCTCTTTCTGGCTCCAGCAGCCTGCCAGCGACTGCATGAGCTGCTCGAGCCTGTTCCTCTCGAGCCACGCCACCTCCTGCTCGGGGTCCTGGTCAGCTTCTCCTTTGTTGTGTCGAAGCCTTGGGTGGAGCAGGCCGGCCTCATCGGCTTCGCTCACGAACTTCATCAGGTCGGGCCCCACTGGCTTGGTCAGCGTTACTGCCACCTGCACAGCCGTCTGCATCAGGCTGTTGGCGTCGTGCCTCTGATCAGGTCCTGCCATGGTCTCCATCTCCTGGTTGCTCGGCTCACCCTCCAGCTCTGGGGCTTCACTGTCTGGGGTCGAGTCATCATCGTCCAGGTTCTCTGGTGACCACTCTCGGCTGGCCTCCGCTGTTCTCGGCAGCGGCCTGCGCTCGCTGCTGGGGATGCTGTGCGCTAGGATGTTGTTCCTTCTGTTCTGGAAGGCGTCCATGTGCACTCTTGCTGCCTGCTGCCTTGTACCGTACGGGAAGGTAAGCATCCTGGTCATGAGCCTCCGTCGCGTGCGGTGCGTGTTGCGCCAGACTTCTTCGCAGAAGTCCTTGATCTGCTGAAGCTCCTGCGCGGTGACGGCCCTGGTCTGCTCTTGCGTGTCCGTTCCGCCACCCACATTGGTGATGGCCAGGAGGTACGGTACGCTGTGCTCCATCCAGTCGTCCATGTCGTCCCAGACCTCTTGGTCGACCATGTTCATCCACTGCTCCGCGTAGCCCTCCATGTGGTCCACGAGCCTCCAGATGGCGTGGACGACAGAGTGCGGATGGCTGGGTGGCTGCTGTGGAGCTGGCTGCGGGTCCCCTGCTTCTGAGCTGTCCCCGTCCAGGTCGATCGCCTCGTGGTTGCGCAGGCCGAGCTTGAAATCTCCAGGCATGGTGATCTCGTTGAGACCCTCATCAGCTGGGTCTGCTGCTGGCTTAGCTCCTCTTGGCAGCTTGCCCCTCTGCATGTCCGCCAAGACCCGCCGCCCTGCTGCTGTTGGGGGCTGACATGGCCTTGCCAGCTTCCTTGCCACTCCTGCCACGATCCTGCTCTTGTGGTCCCCAAGGTAGCTGGTGCCGCCACATTTCTCGCACCAGAGCCAGCCATGGGTGAACTGCGTCTTGTGGGAGACGTGCACCACCTGCGTGCCGATCTGCACCGCCTTGAAGTCGAGCCTGACGTTGCCGTGCTGGTCCTGGTGGCCGCCGTACTTCCCGAGGCATTCTCCCGTCTCTGCCAGCCAGTCTCTGATGCTTTGTCCTTTGGCTGGGCCGCTGCGACACGTTGCACACCACCATCGCGGATGTAGCTTGCGCAAGTCGTGTCCCAGCTGGGCTGCCCTGTCCCTCGCCGTCTGCGGCTTTCGGCGCTTGGCCTTGGGACGCTGAGGGGCCTTGTTGGGGTCCTCCACCGTCACCGCCATGTTGATGGCCAGCAGCCGGTTTTGCACCGCCGTGGTGATCTGGTCCCTGATCTGCTGCTGCGCGATGATGGCTGGATCCAGTGCACCACGCTCCGCTCCCCAGCCTGCGTACTTGTCTGCCATCTCGTTTCCTATGACCCACCAAGTGGGACCATTCCACCTCTCCAGCTCGGCTGGGTGCTCAATCAGGTGGCTTGGGATGTGGTGGCCCATGATGGTGTCCGTGCTGTTCTGCAGCTGCTGCTTCGTCTGGGGCCAGAGGTCGTAGTTCGTGCTCCTGTAGTCCTGATCCTCAGGATCCTGGATCTGATTGAGTGCGTCCAGAGCGTACTTGCAATCGCTGACTATGTTGAGCCCCCTGGCTGTCGCCGCCGTGGTGTACCCTATGGCTTTGCTCATGGCGGTGAGCTCTGCCCGTGGCACCGTGTGCGGTGCCCTGATCGTGCCGTACCAGGCGGCCACTTCCTGCGGACGTCCTTGTTCGTCGAACCTGAAAGCCACCACTGCCCAGCCGCAGCGTCTGAGGCGGGGGTCCTTGGCCGTTTCCCCTGCACCACCTGAGCCGTCCGTGAAGACATAGTCTGCTCGAACCTTGTACCCTGACTGGGCTGCCGCCTGAGCTTCTTCGCTGGTGCAGAAGATCTGCGCCGCCTTCGCCGCGTCCTCGTCTGGGTCGGCCTTGGCTGCCCAGGCCGCTGGCGGGATGCCTCGGAGCCAGAAGTGCAGGTCTTGCCGCTGGTCCAGCGCGTCCTTCGCCTTCTTCGCCAGGTCGGTGTCATTGCAGTGCCCTATCTCTGCGTTGGCAGGGCATACGTAGTAGCGGTGTTCCTCTGTCTCTATCGCCTCGCCGCATCTCGCGCAGGTGTCGTCGCCTTCTTGGTTGAGGTTGGCCGCCCTGCGACGCTCCCTGGTCCAGATGCCCGCCACCGCTATGGTCTCCAGCATGGCTGCCTCTGCATGCTGTCCTTTGCGCCTCCTCCTCCTCAGGTGGCGCTGCAGCTGATAGAGGTCGCCTCCAGCCTGAAGTCCTTCTCCACTGCGGTGGCCAGCTGCCTGCTGCCAGAGCTGCTGCTGCGCGCTCTGCTGGACTTCATGCAGGAGCGCGCCGAAGTGAGGAATGTCATCTGGCTTGTAGGCCCACTCGTCACCTGCTGGGCTGATCCAGCTGTCCAGGCGTCGCGGTATCCAGCCTAACCCAAGCAGCTGCGCGATGACCCCTGCCATAGGCCCCTTGACCTGCTGCCACCTGCGGTTGGGTTCCAGGGCGCCCAGCTTGGCGTAGAGCAGGAGCCCGCCTCTCTGGTACCTCTTGAGCTCCGTCGGGTGGTCGACTATGGTGAGCCAGAGCTGCTTGATCTGGTCGCCGATGGCTCGGGTTATTGCCTCTTGCATCCCCCTCTGGATCAGGAGGATGGTGGACGTGCAGCGTCCAGCCTTGTGTCCGCCTGTGAGGAGCGCTGCCTCCGTAGCCCTGACCGACTTCGCCTCCGTGGGCGTGATGCCGTGCGCTGGTAAGTCCCAGGCCTGCTGGCAATAGGCACCTGCTGAATAGACCTTTGCCGCGCCTCTGGCGTCCGTCTTCGCTAGGTCCTTGAGCTTGGCCACCCTCTGCTTGGCCTTGGCCTGGCGCGCGGCATGGGTGGGTCGCCGCAACTGCTTGCCGAGGCTGGTGTCCACGCCGAGGTCGCGCACTACACCTGGTTGCTTGTTGGGGGTGCCCAGGCTGTCCAGGATGCTGGCGACTTCTGCCTGGAGGTCCTTGTCCGAGGCCACCACTGCCGTCTTGACGGAGATGGGCATCGAGATCTGCTTGAATCCATCGTGCACCAGCGCTGCCACGTGCGTGATCTGGTCAATGACCTGCCGCCGCGCACCCTCTACCTGCAGGGCCAAGTCGTCCAGGTACTGCTGCATGACGACGAAGATGTGGTGCTTGTGCGCTGCATCCAGGATGCCATACAAAGCGGTCTGGTGAGGTCGACCGCTTGGCCACAGCCAGCTACCATGCTGTTGGCAGGCTCGAAGATGTCCGAGAAGAGGCTGTGGGCCATGATGGCCCTGGGCGCAAGGTACATCTGCACGGCCATTGCCAGCGGCAGCAACGGGCACTGGAGGGCGCTGGCCTTCTCGATCAGCTGGTCGAGGCCTATGTTGTCGTAGAAGTTTGCCGCGTCGTAGAACACTCCTGCCGCATGAAAGCCCATCTCCGTGGCGGCTTCTGCCCTCATCAGTCTGTGCATTGCCACTCGTAGCGCTGAGGAGCCAGCTACTGCCGTATCCCAGAAGCCCGCCGCTGCCTTGCTCCAGGTGGCTACTATGGGCTTCCTGGCTGCGCTCCAGATGCGGTGCGGCATGGGCATGAGGCCGATGGGGCGCTCACCGCCGATTCCTCGCTTCTTGCCCAGCAGCAGCCCCAGCACCAAGTAGAATTGCCACGGCCACGCTGCCCGTTGCTCACAGCTGGTCAGGCACTGCACGAAGGCTTCCAGCCCCTGGGCGCCCATGGCCTTGAGCTCTGGAGCCCTCCACCAGTCCGCTCCTTGGCCAGCATTGCGCTTCAGGTGCTGGATGATGGAGCCGATGATGTCCTTGCTGATGGGCTCGAGGGCATTCTCTTGGGCCGAGGCAGCCTGCCTCAGCTTGGCCAGCGCCTCTTGGATCCTCTCGGCCTTCTGTGCATCTCGTGTCCACCTGCGTTGCCATGCCTCTTTGCGCAAGTCCACCAGCTGCTGCGGGTGGTTGATGACCTGGCCCTCGTGCTCAAGGATGTCCTCCAGGTGGCTGCGCTCCGCTGCCTTGGTGTAGGCGTGGGCCATCTTCGCACTGCCTGCCGTGGCGTCGTGCACCCAGTAGATGTACGCCTTCTTCACCGCCTTTGTGAGTAGCTTGGCCATGCTCTTTACCTCCTCTGCTACCCTGCTGATCGTCCCTGGGTCCACGAGGGCGCCCTCTGCTATCGCGTGCAGGTCTGTGAGGAGGGCCTGCTGCTGGTCCTTGGCTGCACCTTCTTCGTTCAGCCTGCCTGGGTCAGGCTGGTTGAGCTGCTGCGCGAGCTGCCGTCTTGTGTTGATCTGCTGCTGCGTCTGGTGGCCGCTGTGGGTGCGGACCTGCAGCTCTCGGCGGCTACTCGGGCCACTGCCTGTTCCTGGAGCATCATGTAGTTGTCTTCGCGCTGCTCCTTCTGGTGCTCGTTCGCCTATAACTTCTCGCATAAACCTCCGCAAGTTAGCAAGCTCCCTCCAATGCATCATTTCCAATTCGTGCCTCCTCGTCGGCTCCTCTCGCGTAAGACCTTGGAGAAAGCCTCGGCGTCGTGGTTCTGCATGTCTCCATGCTCGCTCGCAGAGGTCCCTGATGATGTGGCTGAGGCCGGCCTGCTGGTACCTACGCCTGAGCAGTCTCACCATGCCATTGTTGCCTCCGCCGCCCAAGATGGTCTCCAGGAACGGCACGCATAACTGCATCCAGTTGCTGTTGTCCGTGGGGAGCTGCACCAAGTTATCCATCCAGATGGCCGCCCAGTACTCCAGGTCGTCTCTCATGGCCACGTAGTCTTCCCGCTCCCGCTGGTGCTGGTCATCATTCCAGAGGTCTGGTGGGGGCAGGCCCATATCTCGTTGCTCCTCTGCCTCTGGGCCTGGCAGCGCTTGGTTCTGACTCCCCAGGTGATCGGTACCCTCTGCCTCCAGAGTGCCAGCTGGCTGAGGAGGTGAGCAGTGCGTGTCACCTGGGGCAGTTTTACCAGATCCAGCTGCACGGCGACGAACGGTCTGGCCGTTGTCGATGCTGTCCTGCTGCCCCTCGATGAGCTGGTGGTGCCCGTCGCAGTCCTCCTGATCTGCGGTCTCCTGGCGGTGCTGCAAGCAGTCCTCCTCCTCCTCGAAGGGTTCGTGGTCTTGGACGTCCATGGTGCTGCGTCCTGCTGGTGGGGGAAAAACAGATCCAGCTGCACGACGGCGAACGGTCTGGTCGAACTCGAGGCTGTCCTGCTGCGCCTCGATGTGCTGGTGGTACCCATCGCTGTTCTCCTGGTCTGCGATCTCCTGGCGGTACCCCAAGTAGTCCTCCTCATCCTCGAAGGGGTCGTGATCTTGGATGTCCATGGTGTTGCGTCCTGCTGGTGGGGGAAGGGCACCCCTCTGCATCCCTTCTGTGCAACTGTCTGCGCTGCTGTGGGTTGGTCCCACGTCGAGGTCTGGGACGCGTCCCGTGGCGGCGCACTCGGGGGGCGGGAGCCCCTGACCCATCTCAGAGCAGGGGCCAGCTGCCGTCCCATGGTCCGCTGCGCTCGCCTGTGTGGGGGATGGGTACCCCGAGGAGAGTGAGGAGGGGCCTACCTCTTTCTCTGGGCCAGGCCGCCTCGCCCCCATCTCTTGGAAAGCTGCGCCCGTCTCGGAGGTCCAGGACGCGTCCTTTGGCGGCGGTGCTGGGCTGAGGCAGGGTCGCTCTGGGCTCTCTTGGGCTGGCCCCTCTGCGAGCTCCTGGACCTCAGCCTGAGGAGGGGGGACCTTCTCACGTGCTGGCTGATTCGCGATGTCCTTGGTGCTACTGCCGCCGCCTCCTGCTGCGCCTCCACTGCCTGCTCCCGAACTCTTCGATGGGCTCATGGCTGGTGCGGGGACCCCGTCTTCGAGGCCTACCTGGCTGCCAGACATGACGGGGCCAAACTCCGACGCCGACGGGCCCTGTCCACCTCCCGAGTCCTCATCGGGAAGTGCCTGGGTCTTGCCCTGTCGACTTGCTGCTGCCTCCTGCGCTCGGGCATCATGGTGCGAGAGCTGCCGCACCAAGGAGGAGATTTCCGCCCACCACGCGTGGATCTTCCTTTCGACCCCTGCCCATGGCGTAGAGGTGACGGTGTCCTTGATGCTCGCGCTCTTGTAGCTCGGGGGCCTGCTGTGCCCGAGATGTCGTCCACGCTCTTCCTCTGGGATGCCGATGCTCTCGCGCAGGCTGAGCTCGAGGGTGCTTGCGAAGCGGTCGTACTGTTGCCCCAGGTCCAGCATGTCCCGCTCCATCATCTTGCCGACGACTGTGTGCTGCAAGTGCTGGGGCAACTCGTCGTAGGCGCGCGCGCTGACCCGCTCGGAGGTGGCCTGCCACAACTCGTCAGCGATGGCGTGCTGGACCTCCTTGTCGTAGTACAGCTGCGGCACTGGCTCCATGTCGTTCTCGTCCAGGTCGCGTCCTGCCTCTGCCAGCGCTGGCTGACGTCGGCGCATGGCCTCCTGGCCTCCGCGCGCCGCTCGTCTGCAAGCGGCTCTGGACTTCGGCGTTCTCTCGACTGTGACTGGCGGCTTTATGGCTGCTGGCCTGCGAAGTACCCTGCCCTTGAGCATGAGAGGCCGCCCCTTCAACTTCAAGCGGATGCCAATGTGCGGCTTCCACGGCACGGTCCTGAGCAGCTCCAGCTGGTCGACATACGGCGCCGGGCCCTGCGAGATCAGCGCGAAGTCGATGCACCTGGCTTCACCTACTGCTGGGAAACATGTGGGGGCGCCATCCTCCGCCGCAGCTACTTGAGCATTCAGCACCCTGGGCCAAATGCTGTTGTTGAGCTCCGACGGCGTCATGTTGAAGTCCCCAAGCGCTGCCCATGGCCCTCCCCAGACGGCCATCTTCTCCCGCAGGTCGCAGAGGATGTCGACGTTCCTCTCTCCAAAGCCCGTCCCACACTCGAAGTAGACGAAAGCCACTGCGAAACGGACCTTGTGCAGGTTGGAGATCACCACCGTGGCGTCACTGCCGTCCTCGTGCAGGTAGTGCTCATCGAAACCCGCGATCCTGTCCTGGATGTCCAAGGATCCTCGCGCGATGGCACACGTGCCTCCTCGAGTGCCTTCTCCTTCTCCTGGCCGTGCCTTGGTCCAGTAGCTGTGCATGCCATTCCTCCTGAGCGCCGCTCTTGCCTTGCTTATCTGCGCAGGCTGGCGGAGGTGGTGCTCCGCGATGCCAATGATGTCCCTGTCCTTGGTATTGTTGATCTCCATGAGGTAGCCCTGTGCCTGGGGGCCCCAGGTCGTGACGTTGAAGAAGTCGATGTGGCACGGGCGGCGAGCCTTCTTCGCGCTCGCCTTGGGGCGGCTACCCTGCTGAGTGGTCACCTTGCCCTTCTGCATCGACGACTGTCTCGGCGCGCCTCGCCTGCGAGACCTTCTCTCGCGCCTCCTGGATGTGGGCCTCCACTCTGGCTCGGCGTTCCTCTGCTTTGTCGTGTTCTGCTGCGCCTGCTTCTGGTTGGGCAGCTGCTGCGGCGCCGGTGGGCGCAGCCGCGGCGGCTGTCCCTGCTGCCTCAGTGCATGGGGTGGCACCTCGCTGAGGGGCTGGGCTGGCGGCGCAGACACGCTTGCCTGGTGGGGCTTCTGCTGCTTCTGGGTCTTGCTCTCCGCTCTTTGACAGGCGCCTGGTGCGGGCCTGCTCGAGCTGGCGCAGCTGCTCCTGGTGCCTGGCCGTCTCTTCCTCCAGTAGTCGCAGGTGCTTCGCCGTCTCCTCCTCGTGCTCCTTGACCGTCTGGGCCATGCGCTCGCCCCTGGCCTTTGCTGCTCGCCAGACCTCCTTGTCGGGCTCGGACCACTTGTGGAAGTCGTCAGGCTCATGCTCGAACTGCTCCAGGAGGGCTGCCAGAGTTGGCTTCTCGGCTGCAGGTTCAGCTGGTGCCTCTTGCTTGCCGACTGTGGCCTTGAGCTTGTCGAACTCATCTTCGGCTGCAATGGAGGCTTCCATGGCTTCACGAAGCTTGCGTTCACTCTCAGCCAAGTACTGCTGGGCACTCTCAACTTGCTCCCCTGCCAATCGTACTTTCTTCTGGAGTTTGTCCAAGCGTCGAGCAGCTGCCTCCACTGCCTTGAATCCAACGACTGGTTGGTCTGCTGGTGGCTTGGCTGCGGCGAGCTCTGGCCAGAGGGCCTCGTAGTGCTGCCTGAGCGGGTCGTCCTTGCTGAGCTTGCTGTATGCTGCTGCGGCGGCAGCCTTGAGGTCGACAGTCTTGTCGTGAGGTGGTGGCTGGCGTTGGCCTCCTTGTCCTTTCCCGCCTGCACCACCGCCTGGCTGCCAACCATCTGCCCAGCTGATCCTGGGCGAGGTTCCTCCTTGGGGCTGTGCTGCCAGCCACCCACCATCTTCGTCACGGAAGACATGTCCGTCGGGGACGAGGCAGGCGATATTCTTGCCGCAGATGCAGAGGTCGCCCCTGCTGGTGATATTCTTGCAGTAGCGCCATCTGCTGCACCCGTCACACACCGCGTAGCTGCTGCGAGGAGGGCGACTGCCACTGCTGCTCCTCTTCCACGGGGGAACCCTCTGGCGATTCGGGGTCCCCGACCAGGCGCTGCCCGCCCCGCGTCCGCCGCCGCCACTCCCCATGGCTGCAGCAGTGCCGCGCGCGCGCCCGACGCCCGTCTGGGAACTGTCCTCGGTCCAAAGGTCTCCCTTCGGCCTGGGGGCTGGACAGCCCCCCAGGTCGTCATCTTGAGCCAAAATGGCTACGGGGGGGAGGAGGAGGAGGAGGAGGAGGAGGAGGAGGAGGAGGCCCCGCGCGCTGGCGTGGGCTGCCCGACCCTCCCCCGCTGGACGCCGCCCTGCCGCCGCCCCGCGGGGCGCGCCCCGGGGGCCGCCCCGCGGGCGCCCTTGTGGCCGCCCGTCGCCGGGGCGCGCGCGCCAGCACCGCGCGGCCCGCGCCGCACGGCATGCACCGCGCCGCTGGCGCCGCACGACTGGTGCCACGCAGCCTGCGCCACGCGGCCTGCGCCACAGGGCTTGCGCCACATTGCTTCTGCACCGCGCGGCCTGCACCGCCCGCGGTCTGCAGCGCGCCGCCTGCGCCACCCCGCTGGCGCCACCTCTCCTGCACGCGCGTGTGTTCTCTCTGCTCCGCCACCCTGCCCCCGTGGCACGAGGTGGAGTGTCCCCAGCTCCTCTCCTCGGTCCTCGGACGTCCTGAGGTCTCCATGGAGGTCATTGTGGTCGGGCCTCCACCGCGTTGCTCGGTGTTCCATCTGGGGGATCAACCTTGACACTTTCAACACTCAGAATTTCATTCTCGGCGCACCCGCACGTCGCGTCTTCCCGCGGAGCGGGTCGGCGTGGGGGGCCTCGCCGGGCGCGCCGGCACCGCGCGGCTCGCGCCGCGCAGCATGCACCATGTCGCTGGCGCCACGCGACTTGTGCCGCACAGCATTCACCGTGTCGCTGGCGCCACATGACTTGTGCCACGCAGCTTGCGCCACACGGCCTGCACCACATGGCTTCTGCACCGCGCGGCCTGCGCCACCTGGTCTGCGACGCGCAGCCTGCGCCACCCCGCATGCGCCACCTCTCCTGCGCACACGAGTGTTCTCTCTGCTCCGCCACCCTGCCCCCGTGGCACGAGGTGGAGCGCCCCCAGCTCCTCCCCTCGGTCCCCGGACGTCCTGGGGTCTCCATGCATAGGGGGAAAACAAACCTATCTCGCTTTTGACCACCCTCGCTTCCAATAGATACCAAACGATGCCAAACTACGGCCTGTACTGGTCAGGCCGCTTGACGAGGAGGCGCGTGGTATGACTTGGTTCTTCCTGGAAGCGAAAGCGGGGTAGGCAATTCACGCTCGGAATGAAGGTTCACTGTGATCGGGCCTCCACCGCGTTGCTCGGTGTTCCATCCGGGGGATCCGCCTTGACACTTCCAACATTCGAAATCCCATTCTCGGCGCACCCGCACGGTCGGGTCGGCGCGGGGAGGAGGAGGAGGCCATTTTGGGCATTTTTCTTGTTCGGCCCCCTGGCGCCCTGCCGGCAAGCTAAACCAGGCGCCGTCAGCGCGGCTGTCAGTCCGCGCCACCGTCGCCGAAGGGCGACCCCCTGCCCGCCGCCACTCGGGCCCTCGCCCAGCAGGCCGCTGCAGCGGGCGAGGCGAAGCCGTGGAGCTCCGCCGCCTGCCAGGCGTCCGCCACGACTGGCCGCAGCCCCCAGCGCGGCGGCCTCCCTGCACCAGCGGGAGCGCCCGCGCCTGCCTCGCCGTCTGCGCCGTCGCGGATCACCGCCACGAGCCGCGCCTGCTCCTCCAGCGTGGGCGGCTGCGGGGCCGAGAGCCTGGCCTTGCTCATGGGCTCCTGGAGGCGCGGAGCCGCCGTGCCTCCGCCGCCCTTTCGCCAGGGGCTGGCCGCCCCTTGCAGCTGCCCAGCAGGCCAGTCCCAGCAGGCGGGGGCCGCTTCCAGAAACGGCAACCACACTTCATGCACCAGGCCACGGCCCCATCGCCATTCTCGAGGCGCGAGACGACGATGCAGTGCCCACGAACCTCCCGCGCCACACCAGCTCCTGCAATCGCGGCCTTCAGCTCGGGAGCGGCCGCAGCCGCCTCCGCCAGCTCGGCAGCCGCGGCAGCGGCGGGCGCCTGGCCATGCACCTCTCCAGCATCAGCCCCAGCAGCGGCGCCAGGCGCCTGGCCGAGCTCGCGGTCGGCCTCGAGCGCCAGCGCCGCCACCTCCGCGTCGGCCTGCTCCGCCGCGTCCAGCGCCTCCTGCGGGATGTCGTAGACGAGGTCGGCCGTGCCCACGACCCCGTCTGAGTCCAGCTGCTCTCGGTCCACCATGGTGGCGGCCAGCTCGCCAACCCAGCGCCCAAGCTCCTCCACGCGCCAGGCGCACGCCTGGAGGAACCAGACCAGCTCCTCGTCGATCGGCCACAGCGCCGCGCCTCGCTTGGCCCGCAGGTCGGCTGCCCTGTTGCCCTTGATCAGGAGCTCCTCCTCCCAGGTGGCAGCTGCCGAGAGCTCCTTGTGCGCCTTGACCTCCCGCGCCGTGGCCGTCGGGCCTGGCCCAGCCCGCCGCGCCTGCCAGAGGTGGCGGCGCGCCTGCAGTGGCGCGAGGGCCTTGCCCTGCGAGAGCGCCAAGCCGACCGTGCCCGCGCAGTCGCAGAAGACCTCGAGGCCCGAGCCATCGGCCGACGGCAGCCAGAACTGGGCCAGCATGTGGAACGCGTAGTCCTCGCCGTCCCTGGCCTCCTGCTTGGGCCCGTGCGCCCGCGGGACGATGCCGTGCATCCCGCCAATGACCTCCCCGCTGAGGCCGATCTGCACGACCGCCCAGCCTGCGCGGCGGGCCCCGCGCAGCGCAGGAAGCCTGGCGCTGCCATCCACGAAGACCCTGCCCTCGGACTTTGAGCCAGGCGGCACTCCAAAGCAGCGCGGGGCCGCGAGCGCGGCGTCGGCCGTCGCAGGGAAGGCCAGGGCGGGGTCAGGGCACAGCGCCCGCGCAAAGAGCTCCGCCGCAGCGCCCCCGCGCTGCGCCACCAGCCGCGCCCCCTCCAGCAGCTCCCGCGAGCACGCATCCCGCCGCAGCATCTGCCAGGCCTCGCACTCGAAGGCCCTGTGCCGCAGCGTGCCACGGCCTCCGCAGAGGCGGCGCAGGCCGTCGCGCGCCTTGCCCTCCTTCCAGAGGCGCTCCTGCGGCCAGTGGGGGCCGCCAAGGACCGCTGCGAGCGCTCGCCTGTGGCGGGACTGCCAGTGCGGCGGCGGCGGCGCGGGCTCCTGGCAGCCTGCGCCTTCAGCGGCCTCGGCGCCGTCCTGCCCCACGGGGCGGCGGCGCGCGTGGAGGAGGCGCTCCAGCCCCTTCCAGTGCACTGGCCATGCCCGGGCTCCTGGCCCGCGCAGCCGCTTCAGCGCGAGCACGTCCGAGGCCAGCATCGCCGACTCCCGCGCCACCTGCACCGGCATGCCAGGCGAGTGGAACTCCAGCGAGAGGACGCGCGCCTGCCAATCTATGGCGGTATTGAAGGTCACCATCTCGATGCCGACCCGCCTCAGCGCCAGCACGCATGCCTGCGCAGGGTCGCGGCGCTGCCCCCAGGGGCGGCGAAGGTCGAGCAAGCCTTGCGCCCCAAGCCAGCATTCCTGCACCACCGCGGCGCTAGGCAGGCCCGTCTCCAGCGTCATGCCCCAGGAGCGCGCCACCTCCACCGCATGCACCACGAAAGGGTCGCGGTAGGCCGCGCCGCGCATCGCCCGCGGCCGCAGGCCGACGCTGGCGCCCATGGGCAGCCTGGCTTCCGCACGCATGGCGGCGATCCGCAGGCCGTGCAGCTTCCCACAGGCGAGGCCCGTCACCGCGGAGCCCCAGATGGCAGTGGCCGTGGGGCCGCTCTCTGGATGTGGCCCACTTGCGCACCTGCCCTGCGCAGCAGGCGCGCTCTCGCGCTGACCTCCGCCGCGCGGCCAATCCGAGCGTCCTGCTCGCGCGCGCGCCTCCAGCGCCCATCAGCGGCGTCGCCGCCGAGGCAACGGGCGCCAGTCCAGCGGGCCAGCGGCCCGTGCGCCCAGCAGCCGTCCAGCTCGTCGCCGAGGTCCTCGCTGTTCGCCAGGTAGCCCGTCTTCGCCTGCGAGATGCCCAGCCCCTTGGCGACCAGGCCCTCCGTGAGGGCCGCCATGGCCCTGGGGAGCTGCTGCACCACCTGCGCCCTGCCACCGACCGCCTGCAGCAGCACGTCGTCGACGACATTCTGCAGGCGCACCACAGGGCTCTCCCGCGCGATCTGCGCGAAGAGGGCGTGCACCAGCAGCTTGGCCAGCCCGACCGCGCCGCTGCATCCAGCCACGATGGTGCCGTTCGCCTCGAACGTCTTGGAGACCGAGCCGCGCCAGGACACGCGGCGCTGCGTGCGGCACGACGCGCTGTCGCACTGCAGCAGCGCGAGCGGGAACTCCGTGGCGGCCGCCTGCGCGCGCAGCTCCTCGTGGCTGACGTGCTCGTAGAACTTCGCCAGGGCGGTGACGCCCGTGGCCGCCGAGAAGCCTCTGCAGCGCGCAAAGGCCGCCAGGAGGTTGTGCACCGCCCCCGCGCGCTCGCACTGGCTCTTCGACGTGCCCCAGAAGGCAGGGTTCTTCAGCGAGGCCTCCCAGCGGGCCACCAGCGGCTGCCACAGCCTGCTCCAGACTCTCAGCCAGATGGCCGTGAGGCCGATCGGCCGCTGGCCGCCAGTGGCCTTGGGGATGAACACCACGATCAGCTGCCACAGCGCCTCCCGCGAAGGCTTCCGCTCCCAGGCCATGAGGAGCTCCAGGAAGCGCTGCCTGTAGGTCCGCGGGAGGCGCAGCAGCTGCTTCGGGTGGAGCCTATCCCACCCAAGGCCACACCCCTCGCGGTAGGTGCCCAGGACGCGCT